TTTGGCGGGTCCGGGCTGGGGATTCGAATCCGCCACCTTAGGTGTACGTGGCTGGCGCCTTAGCCGGTTGCGCCGAGCCAAAATAATTTTTTCTTTTGAGACAGAGTCTCACTTCATTGCCCTTGGTAGAGTGCTGTGGCATCACAGCTCACAGCAACCTCCAACTCCTGGGCTTAGGCAATTCTCTTGCCTCAGACTCCAGAGTGGTTGGGACTACAGGTGCTCCTCACAACGCTCAGCTATTTTTTTGTTGCAGTTTGGCTAGGGCCAGGTTTGAACCCGTCACCCTCAGTATATGGGGCCAGTGCCCTACTTACTGAGGCACAAGCGCCTCCCAATAAAATTGTTTTTAAAAAGGAAAAAAAGAATCGCAGAGAAGTCATAATCTTGACATAAGTAACATTAAGTTATACTAAATCTGCTAGCTTCTGGGCTTTTTCTCTAAAAACATGCTATAGCCTTTCTAGGCAGAAGCCAAAAAAATAGCTGAAGGGTCTAAGTCAAGATAACAGAAGTACTTACTGAGTATAGAAGATCAAAATGAATGAAGAAAGCCAGACACAGTGATTCATGCCTATAACCTTAGTTCTCTGGGAGGCCAAGGCAAGAGAATTACCTGGGCTCAGGAGCATGAGACCAGCCTGAACAAGAGCGAAATACTATCTCTACTAAAACTAGAACAATTAGTTTGGCATTGTGATGGGCACTTGTAGTACAAGTTAATTGAGAGGCTAAGGCAGGAAGATCACTTGAACCCAGGAGTCTGAGGATGCTGTGAGCCAGGCTGATGCCAAGCCATTCTAGCCTGGGCAATAGAGAAAGACTCTGTCTCAATAAATAAACAAATGAATGAAAATAAGATTATAAAAAAAAATAAAAAAATAAAAAAGCAATGAGAATATTATCTAAGTGGCTGCTTACATAGGTCTAGATGGGCAGCATCAAAGGTAGTCATAAGGTATAATAAATTCAGTGACGGCAGCATCTGTGGCTCAGTGAGTGGGGCGCCGGCCCCATATACTGAGGGTGGTGGGTTCGAACCTGGCCCTGGCCAAACTGCAATTTAAAAAAATAATAAAACAAATAAATTCAGTGAAATGGAAAGGTTGGCTCAGTGCCTGTGGCTCAAGTGGCTAGGGCGCCAGCCATATACACCTAAGGTGGCAGGTTCGAATCTAGCTCGGGCCACCAAACAACAATGACGGCTGCAACCAAAAAATAGCCAGGTGCTGTGATGGGCACCTGTGGTCCCAGCTGCTTGGGAGGCTGAGGTAGGAGACTTGCTTGAGCCCAGGAGTTGGAGGTTGCTGTGAAATGTGATGCCACGGCACTCTACCCAGGGGGATAGCGTGAGGCTCTGTGTCATAAATAAATAAATAAATAAATAAATGGAAAGGTTAAAAACTAGAGAACCTGGCTGGACATGGTGGCTCATGCCTATGATCCTAGCACTCTGGAAGGCCGAGGCAGGAGGATCCTTTGAGCTCAGGAGTTCAAGACCAGGCTGACCAAGAGTGAGACCCTACCGCTACTAAAAAATAGAAAAATTAGCCAGGACTCCTTTAGTCCCAGCTAGCTGGGTGGTAGTCTCAAAAAAAAAAAAAAAAAGTGGCTGGGGCGGTGCCTGTGGCTCAAAGGAGTATGGCGATGGCCCCACATGCCAGAGGTAGCGGTCCAACCCAGCCCTGGCCAAAAAAAAAAAAAAGGTGGCTGGGATCAGTGGTTCACGCCTATAATCCTAGCACTCTGGGAGGCCAAGGCAGGCGGAATGGTTGAGCTCACGGGTTCAAGACCACCCTGAGCCAGAGCAAGACCTCATCTCTAAAAATAGCTGGGTAGGCTCAGCGCCTGTGGCTCAAGCGGCTAAAGCACCAGCCAAGTACACCTGAGCTGGAAGGCTCGAATCCAGCCTGGGCCTGCCAAACAACAATGATGGCTGCAACCAAAAAATAGCCAGGCATTGTGGCAGACGCCTATAATCTCAGCTACTTGGGAAGTGGAGGCAGGAGACTCGCTACAGCCCAGGAGTTGGAGGTTGCTGTGAGCTGTGATGCCATAGCACTCTACCCAGGGCAACAGCTTGAGGCTCTGTCTCAAAAA